CTTCTAAGTTTGGGGCATGCACGTAGCTTTTGAGGCTGAAAATTCAGAATTACAAACTTGTTACTATTTCACTGAAAAAAAAAAAAAGTTACTTGCTTTATTTGTTTGCTTTAAGTTCTGGAAGCTACTTGGAGTGCTGACTAGTGGCCGGAGAGATTAAAGGTTGAGAACAATTATCAACCAGAAACTAGCCTACCCAGGCCAGAAATTATCCTACCAGCTACTGCCCAACAAGAAGCAAGGTTTTCTTTTAAAAATCTGCAGATTAATGAAAGGTAAATGAAAGTGGCTGCTATTTAAATCTTGGGTTTCATTACAGTGGTGTGATAGCCAGAATATTAAATGTTCTGTAAGGCTGGAGCAAGAAATAAAGATTCCTTGAATTTACATGCTATAACTGCCTGCTCAGTTCTCCTCTTTCAGAAGAGTCAGAAAAATGCTTAAGCAGAATATAAGGATATGGAACCAAAGGTGCCAGGTCCGATAATAACTAGGTGTCAGTTGTTTGATGCATGTGCTTGCATAGTGTTCTAAGAAGAGTTTTAAGTCATTTCATTCTGCCTAAACTGTCCTCCTAATTCTTGCTAAAGATTGCAATTTAAGCACTCCTCCTTAAATGAAAGCACTGTATCTAGGTGCAGATGGCAACAGTTACAGGCACTAACCAGATGCTGCAGTCTCTAATTTGATTGAAAGGGTATAATTAGACAGCAGAAACACTTCAATGAGAGAGTAATGCACAGAGGAAAGGACAGAAACCACTTAACTGATGCCAAGATACCCCAGCAGTAACAGAGGCAGGGGCCCATGGATGGAAGGGGCAGAACACCAAATTACCTTCTTCAGATGAGAACATTTTTGTTTCCCTATGGATGCGAATAGGGATTCTGTTATCATAGGTTGCCACAGTTCTTCATGTGGGAACACTGATTAAAACCAGAAGAAGCTTCAGGAGATCAAAGAGACAAATATGGCTTCTGTGGTCATTATTAAAAATATTTTTAGCAGTGCAATGGTTTTCTTTGAAGATGCAGTTTTATCGATTGACTCAAAAGTTCATTTGCATACTGTCATACAATTGGTCAGAAAAAATAATCTCATTCAGTATTATGTTATGATGAAAAATAAATGCTTTTGGGAAGTATAAGGCAGTTTTAGACCTACCCAAGTGGAAAATTAGTGTAGTATTTTTACATTTCAATACTTTACTACTCCAATTAGTACTAATATAACAAAAGCCCTTACCAAAACTAACAGGCTTGGGTGCCTATACTGTAACATTAAAAAAACCCACAACACAACAGTTGATATGAACTAAAGAAAAAGCCTAAGGCAAGAGTGATCTTTGTTTAAAATTGCAATTTTCAAAATTGTTAGAAAATAACTCCCCATTTGGTAAATCAGCCAGTTTTAATTCTGTTGTGATGCTATGAGGGCACTTGGTCAGCTGATCATTTCTCCTTTGCAGTGTAGGGGCACTCCGCATGTAGTTTAAAAATCCTATCTCTCTCGTTCTATGTATCCACACAGACACAGAAACACACACACACAGACACGCAAATATAATTTTTTAAGTCCTCAAATGCAATAATTTTTGCTGGTCAGAACTGGAGTCTCATTTAGCATTGGTCCAAACCAGAGAGTAGCCACAGTGAAGACTCACCTGACATTTGATCAAACCTTGACATAAGCATTTGTCTGTCCTGTAAAAATGTACTTTCCTGGAAATGTACAGACATGTGGAGTTCCATACTTGTGCTCCCTGACAGTGTGTGAGTTGTTACATATGTGAACTTGCTACTCTTGTGAGACTTTGATTACTAACCTTCAATCTAATCACTTTTTCATCACTTTTCCTTTATTGTTTTAAAAAAAACAAAAAACAAAAAGGTAAATGCTATCTGACTGGCCAGACCATTTCTGGAGTATGTTGGAAGCAGGCAAATTAGGATATGAGCATGAGAGGCAGTTATCATTACTTCTCATGCTTAAAAGTATGTGTTTTGTACCTTTTTTCTTTTTATTCATACAATATAAACATGCTATATTAGACACAGCTTTGCAGCTGCTGGCTGGTCCTCAGCCACAAGATGCAAACATACTTGCTTGTCTTGTGATTCTTTATCACTGGAACTAAGAATGCATGATGTGGCTCCGTAAGAATTTCTGTTCCTTAATACACCCATTTGTTTTCTTTCTTTGTGAAGTTTTAAAACTGTTGTTCCATTGTCAAGCGTGGCAGACTGAATCTCTTCGGAAATTTTACCAGGATGGGCCATAGCCACTGTGTGGATGGAGGGAGTGGTCAATTGCACAACCATTATGGTGTGATATGACAAAGAATGCAAATTTTGCAGCTGGCAGCATGTAATCCCTGCCTCCTTTCTACTTCTTTGGCTACATCCTGCCTGGATTTTGAGTTACACTCTATGCATGTACAAGCATGATAAGCCGAAGTGTCTGACTAACTATTTCATTTTCTATCTGTCTGGTTAGAAATGCTTTTTTGAGTATTTCCATGATGATTGCTTAAGGCATATCAAGTAGAACTGCTTCTCTGAATCAGCAAGATACAGGCAGAAAAGATAACAAGAGATACAAGGTTTGTGAGAGAAGGCTAAAACAGCAGCTCAGGGGAAAGACTCTGCTGGGAAAAAAAACAAGGGCACAGTGACCCAGTATTGCTAAATGGAAAGAAAACAGAGAAAGGAAAAAAAGACTGATCATCATATACATTTCTGATGGGGAAATTAAATGAACACTATAAATACAGAAACTAGAAGTGAGAACTTCTTGCATTGAGTATATAAAATAACTTTTGTTCACTGAAACTAACATTTGCTGAAGGCATTTCCATCTCTTTGGCCTTGTAATACAAACCTCACTAAATTTAGACAGTCCTTTAATGTTAGGCAATCTATTCACCCATCTCTTATTTCTGATTCACTTGAGAAATGTGGTATGACTGAAGTTTGAATGCTGCAAATGTCAGTGTTTGGATTAATAGAAACTGTTATACATCACACAGCAAAGCAGAAACATTCTGTGAAAAGTAGCACAGTACTATGTGCAAAAAGATTGTTAACTCACTCCAATTTCTAACAATTCGAGTCATTTTTCATAAGGCAATTCCAGAAGTTAAAGTTTCTCTCCTATCTTAGCAAATGATGGTGTGACACAGTCTGTATTTTGACAGCATTTTACAATAAATTTAAGACATGCATTTGATAAAAAAGGAATAGGCATTAAAAACATACCATATGACAAACTGCCTTACAAAAGAACTATTAATATTTGTCATTTTAGAATTCTGCTAGCTTCAAGTGCAACCTGATCCAGCTGATCCTGTTTTGGTCCTGTGGGATTAAGGGTCAAGAAAAAGATCCTGAGGTATGGTTTGTGCAGATTAGCAACTCTGCAGATTTTGTATATGCCACACAAATTACAGGTCCTTGCTGAAGTGTAGATTTGCACTGTTTCCAGGTTCTTTAGCAGAAGACACATAGATGGCAGTGCTTTCTAGATCCATTCTCCTTTGCTACCCCTTCACTCAGAGGCATTATATAGTCTCTCCGCCCCCGCCCCAGCTGCTTGTGCTCAGGCATCTCTGACCCCTTCAGTGGCTGCCAGTGCATGCAGTCAGAAGTTGACTAGAGGATGGAAATGCAGGTGTGTAAACAGGTAGAATCCTCTCAGTAGGCTATGAACCAAACATTCACACTGGGATATATCCTCCACTTGCTGTCATGCAGCCTGCTGTGAGGGACATGGTCACATACAGAATGTTCTGTCTGCAGTTCTGCTCAGAAATGTTACAAGAATTCTTCAACTTAAGCAAAGGAAGGAGTACCTACTGCGTGCGCTAAACATGTCCTAATGGTACTGGGAACAGACTGTTAGACATGGTCTAGATATATCCCTGTCTAGGCAGCTCTCTACATGCTTATCTGAAATACTCTCATGTTTTACTCACTTCAGGTAACTTCTGAGAAGTTGTAAAGTTTACCCTGAGTTCTCTTTCTGGTAAAAGGCTTTTTTTCCCCTGAGAAAGTCTATGTAAGTATTTTCCAAATCTAATCAAGTGCATCTACAAAAACTTGTTGAGCAAGTATCTGTTCATGGCAAAAGGCAGTAGAGCAAATTCTACATTATGAAGAATAACAATGATTAGAATATGCAAAATGTATCCAGGAGGACCAGGCATCTGATGGCTGTGACATTGCGATCACCTGGAACAGCCACTTCGGATCTTGCGAAGCAGGGCCAACGTTTATCAGAGGAGAACCGTGGTACTTGAAATCGTCAGTAACAACTGAGATAAGGACAAAAGGGTGCAGAGAAGTTTTAACTGAAAAATCAGACTAACAGGTAGCGAAGCTTCAGGCTTCCCAGATTGCTGGCTGAACGACAACCTGAACGGTCAGAGGAATCCGTGCTTGACAGGGAGCTGGGGCAGCACGCAGCAGACAGGCGAGATGGCCACCCTCCAGGCTCTAGCTCCGCGGCCCCAATTCTGCCCTGCTGCCACCGGTTATTTCATTTCCCAGTGAGTAAGTGTACCCACGCCCCACACGCCCCTCTCCCTGCAGATGCCTCTGTTCTGCAAATCTGGCTACCGAGCCACTTTGATAGAGAAACGTGCTGCTCTTCCTCCTCTCACCTCATGCTTTCATACAGTTTTCCAAGCTCCAGCCCAGCGAGCACAGGGAGAACCCTCAAACCCGCACACGCCGCAAACCGCGCACGAAAATACCCCCCGCACGTTTGCAGGAGCAGCTTCGAGCCGCGCACCGAGCTGGCGAGCAGGAAGGGACGTCGTCGCGACCTCGAGGAGGTGCCGCCGGGCGGCAGAGCCCTTCCGCGGGAGGCTGCGCGCCAGCCGCAAGCCTGCGGGGCTCGGGGCTCGGCTGCCCCGCGCCGCCGCCGCTCAGCCCTGCGAGGAGATCGGGGAGCAGCCCCAAACGCGCCCCCCGCCCGGCTGACCGCGACGCGTCACTCACCGGAGAGAGCGGACTCGCGGCAGCAGCTCAGCGCCAGCCATGAGAAGGCCAGGACGGCGGCGAAGGCGGGGGGCTCCATGAGCGGCGGCCGCCGGGCCGCACCGCGCTCGCAGGCGGCAGCCCCAGGGCTCCGGGGGCAGAGGTGGTCGCGGGCGGCCGGGAAGAGCGCAAAGTGCGGGAAGCGGAGGCCCTACAGCATGTGTCCTGTAACTGCGCCCCGGCGAGGTGCCGAGTGGCAGATGAGGGATCCTATTACCAGCCATGTGACAGGAAAGGATAGAGACCAACATCCCAACCTGCTGCAGCGCGGGACCGCAGAACTGCTGCTTTTCCATTTGACACCGGCAGGTTTGGGCTGCCGGTGCTCGCTCCGGGGCCAGCCCCGGGGCTCCGCGGAGCCCTCCTCGCGGGCAGGGCCGCCCCGCCGCCGGCGAGGCAGCGGCCCGGCGAGTCCCCTCCTCCCCCACCCCGCACACACTCCTCCGCCCCAGCACCGACCCACGTCTCGCTCTCGTCGCTCCCCTCTGCCCTCTCGCACCCGGTCGCCCGCTGCGGCCGCGGAAGAGGCCGGGCAGGAGCCCGTCAGCCCCGCGGCCTAGCCGTGGGCTCTGCCTGGGGCCAGCCGCTGTCCCGGCCCCGCGCTCGCCCTCCGCCAGGCTGGGGTCCCACGGGGGTTGTCCGCAGCAGATGGGAGAGCGCAGGTGCAGCCCGTCTCTCATCCCATGAAGCAGGGGGCGGGGGGGGGGGGACACGGGGACGGGGGACACAGGGAAAGAACGCTACGAACTTCGTATTAGCCCCGTGCAGCTCCCGCCCGCGCACAACCACTCTGCGCGGGCGCGGTGGGGCCGCGGGTGCGCGCCCGAGCGCTGCGCCCGAGCAGCGCCTTTCTGAGAGACTCGGCCGCCAGCGGGGGCGGACTGAGGGCGTCGCTCTGCAAACGGGAGGAGGCTCCTT